ACAATAATAAATAATAATTCACCGTTTGCCAATAACCAGCGATTTTAAAATCAAGTTTGAATTCTTCCCTGAAGGGATCTACCTGAATGAATACACAGAGTATATCTTTGCTACATTTGTTTCCTCAGAGCTTGAAATAATCTATCTCAAAAACTTCGAATTCCCCTGAAATTATATTTGTTAGAGTCACTACAATCAATGAGATTGCAGGTGTAGGCAGTTCGATTCACGGAAACAGCGCCATGGTTCTATGAACATTGTTTCTGTGAAACAGAAGCTGATTTCAGTACAGATGAAAGCTATAAATTTACTATTTGTCAGTTATTAATGACAGAGGTGAAATGGTTTCTGTTGTTCCAAGTTATCTGAATGACATAACTGAAGGTAGATAAATTTTAACTTGAGATGAGCTGGAAGCACTTGAAAGCACCTTTTCACACACAGTAATTTATTCTGCATATATCATAGTCATTTTACAAGTAACAGTAACAATCATTAGATATTATTCACCTGTATTTGTTTATTCAGTATGTAGACAGTCGATATGCTAATTAGTCAGCTTAATTCCGAAGACCACAATGAATAGCTGATGTTTGAATTATTGACTCTATATGTAAAACAGTATGATAATTTAGAACTGTAGTTCTCAATCTATCCTGTGTATAATTTAATGTCTGTCCACCTACAATTATGTTTTTCTATATGATTCAGGGACTTGGAGCGTCAGGCTTCACCAGGCTTTAGACTTTCAACAAGAGCTGCCTTCAGTGCTCCGATACTGAAGATTAGATGGCCAGAAAGGGTGAGCAGCAGGAAACTCCAGCAGGTAACGAACTGACAAAGTACCAGTTGCCTAAAAGACATACAGGAGGAAATGGAGATGGACTGGACTATGCTAAGGCGACCGCTCGCTGACAACATACAACAGGCTGTTGAGTGGAACTCGAATGAGTAACGATGAGTTGAATATCTCAGCGTTATTTTGAAGAGATTATGTCTGGGGGTAATCAGATTGTCAGAACATAGGAATTTAGCTAAGGTAAGAATGGTTGACCCCACTCACGAAGATAAGTAATTTAGAAAAAAGCTCAGCTATTGCACTTCACGCATTAACACACAACCACACAATAGAGTGGGATAGGGATAAAATTCTAAAAAGTAATCTAGGTAGGTGGAGAGAGAGGTCGATTACTGAATCCTTGTTCATCGAGTCTACACCCAACACATACAACAGAAATGACTCAATACAAATACCAGAAATATGGAAGATATTATTACCAGCCAGTCAAATCAGAAGAGGATAATAAATAATCTTAAAATTCTATTTCAATTCAAACACATCACAACATTCTAACAAGTTACTTATTCTGACTATAGAAACACTCGTCTTATTTCCCATCTGATTGTAATTGATCAATAACACTCGTATTATTATTTCTGAATGTACATTATCTCATATTGACTTTTATTCCAATATCTAATCGATTCCACACATGTATATAAATGAAGGAAAGAAGTTGTGTGAGTAACTTGATATGATTATGAGCAATAATTTGTGCTCGAAACGTGGTCATCAGTTAATATTACTGTACAACAACACTGTATGATTTATCAAAATAAAATCTTATCCATAATGGAATCATGTCAGGAAGACACTAATGTTTATGGAAGATCCTGGAGGCAGGAAAGAGGGACTTTAAGGAAGTGAGTGAGACAGCGACATGCTGTTGAACACTTCTATCCTAAGGGGAACCCAAGGGAATGAAAACAAATCATGATCATTTTGATGTATCGCTGGTGGCTGGCTAAGTACTTTCTTGAAATCTGACGAAAAGCTGCACTCAGTTAGATAGAATAGTCGTGGGTTAAACTAATTCTACCATCGCAACTAAGAATAACCTGTTGAAAGGTGTCTCACTACTCACATCAACCGGCAGTGTACACTACCTTGTAGCTCATTTATCTATTTAATACTTTTTCATTTCAATCAAATGAAGCCAGTGGAGATATAACAAATTCCATTATAGACAAAATTTATTTTGATAAAGTCACACAGTGTTGTTATACAGTAATGTTTACTGATGACCACGTTTCGAGCACAATTTATTACTGCTCATAATGATCTCAAGATGTACTCACATAACATTCTTGCTTCCTTTATATACATAAGTGTAGATTGATTAGACATATGAATAAAGTCATATAAGTTAAAGTACATTCGGAAACAATATTAGTGTTGCCAATAAAATACAATAAGATGGGAAATAAGATGTTTTCATAGTAAAACAAGTAACTTGTTAGAATGTTATAATGTGAATTGAAATGCATTTCAACATTATTCATTATCTTTTGATTTGACTGGTGGTAATAATATCTTCCATATCTCTGAAATTTTCGTTTGGTCTCTTCTGTTGCATATGTTGGGTGTAGACTCGATAAACAAGGATTCAGTAATCAATATCCCTGTCCACCTACCTATATTATGTTTTAGAATTTTGACTCTCCCAGCCTATTGTGTTGTTGTACATTGTTAATGCATGCAGTGTGATTTCTGAGCTTCTTTCTAAATTAGTTATCTTCGTGGAGTCAATCATTCTAACCTTAGCTGAATTCTTATTTCTGATAATCTGACTTCTCCTGATCTACTAGTTTGACCTATGTGGTTGACTTAACTCATAGTCATTGCCTGGTATTTTTTAAATTGCATTATTTTGTTTACTTGTGTCATCGGGGTCCTTCAGCCTATAAAGCTTTTTCTACCTGAGTGAGTTAGTAGGTTAGAATGTCACCGTAATTCCTGCTTTTTAAATAAGAATCCTACTGTGTAGGGCTTCAGATGTCCCCCTCCTTGTATGGTAAAACTGTAGTAGCCTTGCATTCTTTGTTATTACCTGGGTTCGAAACCCAGTTGGTTCGTACTGCCGATGAGTCCCAAACTCGGAAAAAACAGCCGTCCGGTACTCTCTGGTTTTCAGTGGTTCTCTAATTGACATCAATCCGTGGTCTATACGTGTATTTAGACTGACAGGCCTTAAGGAAACCTTAATGAGAATTCTTCACAATTCAAGAATAAAAGTGGCTGGCATTCAAAACCACAAACTCGATTAGAAACAAGCTTTGTCGGTTTTAGTATCTTGTGGAGCCAATAAAACAAAACAATTCAGTTTATCTAATAACCTGGAATGATTGTCAGGTCAAATACTCATGTGAAAGTAATCCGTGGTCTAACCTGAATCCCTGAAAACTAATTCTTAAAGCATTAATATTGTTTCCGAATGTTACTCCATCTTTCATTCTGTTTCACTCATGTCTATTTCACTTTAACTCATTTTATTCATGTGTCTAATCAATCCTTACTCACGTATATGAACGAAGCAGGAATGTTGTGTGAGTACATCCTGATATGATTATGAGCAGTAATAAGCTGTGCTTGAAACGTGGTCATCAGTAAATATTATTGTATAACAACACTGTGTGACTTTATCAAAATAAATTTTATCCATAATGAAATTATACTCTACCACAGCGCTGAAGTTTCATGTTTATATGGAGTTATAACGAAACTAACGCACTACATATTATGTTCTTCTGACTGACTTTATCAGCACTTATAAGTGCTGATATTTTCAATTGACGTTTCTATTCCCAATATTATTCTTGCCTCACTATTTTTATGTCATACAAGATGTACTAATTAATTACACGGATTTTAATAAAACCCTCAAACTAATCATGAAAATATCCTAATGACTTTATTTGCGACAAATTACTATCAAGTAAAGAAAAAGTTTAGGATAGATTGCATATAGGATAATGGCCTCATCTTATCCGGGTATCTCTCAACGATACATGCTGACCAATGGATAACTGAGGACAAAGTAAAACTTGAGTTTTTCTTTGACTACTCATAATCAACCTTATTCAACAGCTGTACGACAACGGCACATGTCAAGTGATCCACAACGGAAAACTCAGCGGGGCGTTTGGAGTAAACAAAGGAGTCAGACAAGGGTGCTTATTATCACCAATGATATTCATAATTGTGATGGACTGGATTATGCGTCAGACAGTGGGAAACGAGAAGACAGGGATATCCTGGACCGATGTGGAAAATCAAGAAGACCTGGATTTCGCGCGTGGATGATTTATGTTTGATGTCACACAAAATCGAGGACTTACAAGCGAAAACCGACAAACTGGTCGAAGAAGCAGCCAGAGAAAACAGGACTCCAGGTGAACATAGACAAGACGGAGGTTATGAAAATAACCAAACAACAACAACAACAGCAGCAACATCCAGCGAAAATCACCATCAACGGGAGGGATTTGAAAGAGGTTACGTCTTTCACCTGTCTAGGGAGCATTGACTCAACTACACGAGGAACGGACGAGGATGTCAAATCGAGCGAGAATCGGGAAGGCGAGAAACACATTCATCAACCTGAAACCAATCTGGAAATCTTCTTCACTCAACTCAGCATCAACAACAAAATTCGGATTTTCAATACAAACGTCAAGTCAGTTTTGGTTTACGGATCAAAAACTTGGCGGGTCACAAAGAATATTTCCAACAGCCTGTTGCAGACCTTTATCAACAGCTGTCTTCGTTCTATACTGAAGATCGGATGCCTGGAAAGAATCACTAACAAGAAACTATGGGAACAAAAAAACAAGAACAACAATCGCCCAACAAATATGCAGGAGAAAGTGGAGATGGATTGGACACTCGCTGAGCTGAGGAGGCCGCTGGGTGACATCGCGCGTCAGGCCATAGCTCGAGTGGAACCCGAAAGGGAAGCGGCGAGTTGGAGGGTGACATGGAGGAGATCGTGTGAAGAAGAGTTGAGACAGTATGGACTAACATGGATGCAGGTGAAAAGTACAGCAGAAGACAGAAGGAAGTGGAGACGTGTAGTTGAAGCCCTATGTTCCACTAGGAACCCAAGGGAACAATAATAATAATAACAATAATACTCATAATTTTACAATGTTTTTGTTATTGTATATTGAAATTTTAAATAGAGTTAAATTCTAGACGATTTTTTAAATTCCTCAAAATTTATTCTCAAATAATGAAATAACCAAAATAAAACAAAATTATACACGTCCAAAATACAATGAATGAAACAGTGAATGCTTTAACAAAAAACAAGGTCATGAAATGGAAGTTCAATGAAACTGTGTCTACAACGTTTCCATTAGACTTTGTCTGTTTTGTGCAAAGGTCTAGGCATGTGATGTTTGAGCAATTGATCAGCATAGTTTATCCCTTGTCTTACAACATATATGCACTGATTCCAGTTAAAATGAGCATTAATATAATCGCACTACTGTGCATAGATAATTTTGTTTTTCCATTACACAGATCAGATGTGCAGCACGAAATTTCTCTGCCCATCGGCTGAGGACCACACGAATAATTGCAATATTTATTCACAAATCCTGAATCGACGGATGTCTGAAATATAAAATATAGAAAATAAAAATATATTCAAGAAGATTAGATTCCAGTGTAAATGTATGGTAAACATTGGCGAAAAACTTTAGACTACTCAGTGCTTGAGATGAGTAGTTATATCCTACTCACATCAATCAGTGTCGTTTATCGAACACGTGGAAGTGGTCTTAAGTGACTCACTCTAAGAGCTGAGTTTAACCGCTCACATATGCATCTGTGCTTACTTTCTTGTTCACCATTTATGGTATCAAGCAGACTACATATTGTGATCGGAATTATTTCGGTTTCTATAGAAAAATGAGCTGAAATGTCACCCCGCACTATATAAATTGCAAATTGTGGATTTGACTACGAAAAGCGTTGAAATGTAGTCAGTGTCATAACTTGAAGTTCAGATTATTACCGTAAGCGCTTGTTGGATTCACACTAAACCATTAACCACAATAATTAATTTCAAGGAGTGTAAGCTTTTTTCAGAATACCGGAAACTTTTCTCCGCCTAGACGAATTTACAACAATCAAGTAATCTTCATAAAGTAGGATATCAAAAATTGTTCAAATTTCAGAAGAATCCATCCGCTGAGTACTCTATAAACCTTGTTACATTTAGTATATGTTACCAACCAATCACTAAATGAGAGTTACAATACCCTGAAACTTAAAGAAATGGGTAAACTGAGGTGCAGAAAGCGTTAAGATGGAGTGTAAGAAGTTGATTGTTCCAACTGATTGGGTGATCGCACAATTACATCACTATCAATAACTATCATTACTCTAGTGCTACGGCGTACAACAAATATTCATCAACCTTATTTAACAGCTGTACGACACAACGGAAAACTCAGCGAGGCGTTTGGAGTAAACACAGGAGTCAGACAAGGGTGCTTATTAGCACCAATGATATTCCTAATTGTAACTATGACTCTCTTAAGGTAGCCAAATGCCTCGTCATCCAATTCCGGCCAGTGCTCCGAGCGTCAACGTGCAGAAGCTCACCAGGGCGTGGGGAAAGGCGGGATAACGAAAAGTTGGCGAGCTACCAGTGTCTTCCCACGACGTAGACATGTGGCCTTGTGCTATGTGCACCGTCGGGTTGACGCTTGAGGGCATGGTTGCGCTGACAGGTGCCTCCGCGTGGCGCCCGCTGGGTGGGACGGTTTTCCGGCCGTCTCAGCGAAATCCTGTCAGATTCGGTGTGCTATTTCTCAATTTGGGAGTGCCTTTCATGGTCTGCCGGCTGACTATCCTCTTGGACATGGGGTGTTCTTGGGGGCGCTGGAGTATTCTGTGGACGGTAGCCTGGTCATGAGAACCGAGTGGGAAGATTGTCGGGGAGAGTCTTATATCCCAATACCAACTGGGAAAGAGCCTGATTCTCGTTAACTCGGCTAACCTGCAAGGAGATCATTTCCGAGACTAGTTCACCAACATGGGACAACATTCGCACCCAATTACTCAACCTTAATGAAGCAGCGATGCCGTCCATCGGCCTTATCTGGCCGTGTACGGGGCATCGGCGGTGTCAGTAGATCTGTGGGATTTTTGGTGAGAGGATTGGAAGCCAATAAAAAGTGGATAGAGGGTGGTCGTGAGAGGTGGTAACCCGGTCCGCGAGGCGCAACTTGGTGCAGAGTTGTTAGCTAAGGCCATTTTCGAGCGGCGTCCCATGTGTGGGATGTGGATTGGCGGCCGGGATCTCAGTCCTGAGTCAAGACCGGTTGGCTCCAGTGCGCATATGTCCCTGAGAGGATGTGCCTGGTGCATACCAATTGAAGGAGCATTGCATGGAGGGTGAACAGGGGATCGTCCTGGGGAGTTCGTTTTTGGGACTGAACTAAGTCAACGGGGCGGCTCGCCAAAGGCAAACTCTCACTCGTTTTACCTCGTGAAAGGCAATTGGCATGTGCGACAAGGGTAAATAATACACCACCAATGATATTCCTAATTGTGGTGGACTGGATTATGTGTCAGACAATGGGAAACGAGAAGACAGGGATATCCTGGACCGACATGAAAAACCTAGAAGACCTGGATTTCGCGCGTGGATGATTTATGTTTGATGTCACATAAGATAGTAGACTTACAAGCGAAAACCGACAAACTGGTGGAAGAAGCAGCCAGTGAAGACAGGACTCCAGGTGAACATAGACAAGATGGAGGTTATGAAATTAACCAACCAACAACAACAACAACAGCATCAGCAACATCCAGCGACAATCACCATCAACGGGAGGGATTTGAAAGAGGTTACTTCATTCACTTATCTAGGGAGCATTGTCTCTACTACTGGAGGAACGGACGAGGATGTCAAATCGAGCGAGAATCGGGAAGGCGAGAAACACATTCATCAACCTGAAACCAATCTGGAAATCTTCGTCACTCAACTCAGCATCAACAACAAAATTCGGATTTTCAATACAAACGACGTCAGTTCAGTTGTTCTATACGGATCAGAATCTTTGCTGGTCACAAAGAGTATTTCCAATAGTGTGTTGAAGATCTTCATCAACAGCTGTCTTCGTTCTATACTCAAGATCAGATGGCCGGAAAGAATCACCAACAAGGAAAAAACTATGGAAACAAACGAACCAAGAACCAATCACTCAACAAACATGCAGGAGAGAGTAGAGATGGATTGGTCACTCTCTGAGGAGGCCGCTGGGTGACATCGCGCGTCAGTCCATCGCTCGAGTGGAACCCGAAAGGGAAGCGGCAAGTGGGTCGTCCAAGGGTGACATGGAGGAGATCGTGTGAAGGAGAGTTGAAACAGTATGGATTAACATGGATGCAGGTGAAAAGCACAGCAGAAGACAGAAGCAAGTGGAGATGTGTAGTTGAAGCCCTATATTCCACAAGGAACCCAAGGGAGCAAGAATAATAATAATACAATACACAGATACTAATTTAAGGGAGATTTCTGCAATATTTTGGTATAAATATTTGTGATAAGACTGCTTTTTAACTCTATCAGGGTAAGGACAGAAATAAGAATTCGAGGGAGTTTAGGATTTTTTTTAGTAACCCAATGGACCTATACTACCGCACAAAGGGTGATTCAAAGCAACAACTTCCTTCATTTGAACACAGAAGTTGATTTTACCTTCTGAATGCGTAGACAACTATAAATACAAAGTGTCTTCTTATTTGTGTGCAAACTGGCAACAGTGAACAAGTTGATAGCATGAATATTGGGATTATACTGAAGAAGGTAATTTCTATTACTAAAATTATTAAAATTCCCTTAAGTTAGCGTTATATACTCAAGTGAAGCTGAATGGAATCATCTCGGCAATTGCAATAATACAGATTAAATGAAATGCATTTGAAGTAAAGGATGGAATGGCAGCAGGTTACTTTAGACTATCACATTAATGTATGCAAAAATGTAAAGAAAATAGGAACATGAGCTTAAATGATTAAATAACATGTTAAACCTTTTGCAGACACTGCCGCGGAACCATGTTCCTGACCATACCAAGAAAAACATCAACTCAAGTCATCCTGGAGAGATTAGGAGATGCGCTGGATTCAGAACTCTGCCCAGAACAAGCTGGATTCAACGAAGGGAAGTTGTGTGCGGATCAAATTGCAACTTTACGCATCATTATCTAACAGAGCATAGAATGAATGGTAGTCAAACCTCTATGTCAGCTTCATCGACTTTGAAATAGTCTTTGACAGCGTTGAACATTAATTAATTTGGAAATGGCTTCAAGACCACAGAGTGCCTCACACCTTTACCAACGTCATTCAACAGCTAAATGATGATGCGATGTGCCAACTGACCCATAGCGACACCTCTGAAGTGAAAACAGGAGTAACACAAGGCTACCTACTATTGTCACCGATGACATTCTTAGTTGTGATGGATTGAACCAGGCTCATACCTTGAGAAACTAGAAGATAAGAAAGTTTTGAACTGTTAGGCGGACTCAAGAAGATCCTGACTCTACGGAATATGTATATCTATTGTCACACAGACTCGAAGATCTACAGGTGAAACCCAACAATTTGAGATCGGAATAGACTAGCAGAGGAGACAGGTTTTCAAGTGAACATAGAGAGGACGCAAATGACGGAGATGCACTCCGATCAGCAAGAACAACAACAAGTACTAATCAGTATCAATGGGGGGGGGGAATCTGAATGAGGCAACTTCTGTGGTGAGAGCTGGCTGCCAGCCAAAGTTGGTAGACAGTAACTGACCGCAATGTTTATGTCCCCAATATTGGTGGTGAGAAAATGAGAAGAAAGGCTTTGCGTAGGTGGATACAGTTAGCATATAAATGATCTGACACAGCCACAAAGAGAAGCAAGGTTAACTTTCTGTGAGAAACAACCAATCAAACGACTGTATTTTCTACTAACAATAATCTACAATAATGTACATTGAAATCTATAAATATGTGTCGATTTTCTTTAATAAACGATCTGTTGCCTGGCCCTTGTCTTCTGTTGTTACATTTCTTTCACTTATTTAGGCAGCATTGTTTCAACTACAGGCAACAAGGGTAAGAATGTCAACGCCAAGATAGTAAAAATGAGGGACACCTTCATTTCCCTGAAATCAGTATAGAAATCTGCCAAACTCAGCAATAAGTAACAAGATTCTGATTTTGCAGATTTCACATCAAGTCACTTCTTTATGAGTCATAGACTTGGTGAGTCAACAAATGCGCCAGACCATCGCTCGAGTGGAAAACTAATGGGGGACGAAGAGTTGGGAGTATATTTGGGGGTGACATGAAGGCGATTGAGCTAACAGGATATGAAAACTAATCAGCAATCATGGAACCAGCTGCAGAGAACAGGGTGAAGTGAAGATGTGCTGTTGAAGTCTTATGTTCCACTCGGAACCCAAGGGAATAATAACAACAGCAATAAAACGTGGACGTGATTTTTTTTCCAGAATAAATAAAAAGCCTGATGAGGAAATTATTTGAAAATAATTATTCTCTCTACGGTGACAATTCAATGATGAATGTTTTGCCTTTTGAAACATTCACTGATAAGCTAAACCTTTTGCGAATGTTGAGCTTCAGTCATTATTTTATAACATGTATTTATGATTCCAGATAAATTAAAACGCTTGAAGTATAAAGTAAAATAAGTGACAGTCATTTCTCATGTCTTATTAATTGATTATCAACAACAAAATTCGGATTTTCATTACAAACGTCAAGTCAGTCAGTTCTTCTATACGGATCAGAAACTTGGCGGCGGGTCACCAAGAATATTTCCAACAGCCTGTTGCAGACCTTCATCAACATCTGTCTTCGTTCTATACTCAAGATCAGATGGCCGGAAAGAATCACAAACAAGAAACTATGGGAACAAACAAAACAAGAACCAATCGCTCAACAAATATGCAGGAGAAAGTGGAGATGGACTGGATATTCGCTAAGGAGGCCTCTGGGTGACATCGCACGTCAGGCCACAGCTCGAGTGGAACCCGAAAAAGAAGCGGTGAGTGGGACGTGCAGGGGTGACATGGAGGAGATCGTGTGAAGAAGAGTTGAAACAGTATGGATTAACATGGATGCAGGTGAAAAGTACAGCAGAAGACAGAAGCAGGTGGAGACGTGCAGTTGAAGCCCTATGTTCCACTAGGAACCCAAGGGAACAATAATAATAATATTAATTGATTACCAAATGTAGTCAACTTCAAGTACGATTTATCTAATCCTTAATTTAGTGTACAAAATAACACAAAGTGTATGTAACTACTAAAAGAAAGTAGTTTTAATAAATGAATGTGTGTTAACATGAACTTACTACACATGCTCCACAAAAATCTACAATTCTTTGATTATCTGTTGTACATTGACTACAACTGTAACACCTGACAGGATTTTCTACAAGCGAATGTACACAAAAAGTATTAAGAGAATAAATAAAATGTCCATGATTGGAATATAATAAGAATGTTCAATTGCAGTTTTATGCAACAGAAGGTGGTGTAGCGTTAGAGAAGATTCCGTATTTATAAAACACAGAATAATTCAGCAAAGAATATCCTTTTCGATAATTTCCTCTTCTGGCTCTACATTTATATATATGTATATATACATAGAATATTCTAGATTAGTAGTCAATAACAATATTAGTGTTTTTTAAAATAATATCGATTTGTAAAGTAAGATCAGTGGAATTGCAGTTCATTGAAGACGCTTAGATTATAATAATAACAAAGATATAGTAGCAAATAGAATATCAACTAAAATCAGGAAAATTCCACAAAATTCAGGATCATTCAGACCTGGATGGTCAAGGTAAAGATAATGTCTGAACTAACCTCTTTTGGGTGCATAAATTTAGCTTGTTAATATGGATCCCAACAGCCTCAGCAATATTTAGTAGTCAAACTCTTAAAGAAAAATTGAGATTCGTAGGTATGCGGTAAATGACCCTGAAAGCATGATTAACATCAATCTTGTGTTCTGTATCCACAAGATGAGACAGAATAGCGCTACGAATAGATTTTGTTTGTCCTTTGCTTAACCAGGCAGGGTGATGTTTGGAAATTCGACGAGAAACACGCCTAATTGTACGGCCTATGTAACCGGCTCACTCCACAGGAGTGGTAGATACACATGGAAGAGGCGAAATTAGACATTTTGTCCTTTACTCCCGAACGTAAAAGTTGATTGGTTTTGAATACCTATCCGAGGTGAGTACGAAGCTATTTGACTCAAAGTTGACTGTGTTGCTCAAAAGTTTATATGGACTATTTTACGATCGATGGAATCTAATCATTTGGCGTAATTTTTGAAAAAATACGTAAGCCGTATGTAAATATTGTATTTTCAATTATCAGATACATTGCTTCAACTTCTCACGTGATGTAGACATATTTTGATGTGGCGATCAGATAACCACTTAGACTTAACACTAAATACTGAATTAAATTCAAAATTAAGTACAACTTATTTATTTTAAAAGAGCGTCTACACATCACCATGGTATAATTTGAAAGTCCTGACTGTCGTTGCTTATTCTAGCAGTGAATTATGGCAGTAAAATACCTGTCTTCCGTATCAGTAATCATTTTAACATGTTGATGCAAGGGGTCATGAAGTGTTACCTCAAATATCATGCTAGTTTATTCCTGTTGCGTATTGAGGAAAGAAGTTCATTGCGTTACGAGTAATTTAATGTGACTGGACGTAATTGAAAGCAGTCAGGACAATATGACATAACTCGAATTCAAACTCTTATTATTACATAGGTCAAAAGGGTAGAAGAACAGATGTAAATTCAGTCAAAAATGACAGATTCTGTTGGGAGTAAAAATATTCTCGTCAAGTTTTCACATATTTGAAATATAAATATTATTTAGTAGATATTAGAAATATCTTCCGACAGACTGAACATTCACCCTAATTCAATCATTATATTTTACGCGCAAGAATCGTAATCATTTTGACTGGATAATAGTCAGTAACTAGTGTAATGTGTTTGTCTAGTCATATCTTTGGTGCAGACTGGATTCCATCAGAAGGTCAATTGTGAGCCTGAATAGCTCAGTGATAACGTCTCTGACGACTGCAGCACTGTATGCCGCTGGTTCGAATCCGAGAAGGGACGTTAGTTCCTTCAAGGTTGCAGATACGCCTCGCTAACTGACTGATGAGTCCCAGCATGCACGAAACCTAGGTCAGGCAAGGCTTCCTGCCGATTGCCTTCAACCATCTAACACCGACAATTTTCGTAATGTTTGAAATTTTTTCAACAAAACATTGTGACTATTTTAAATATTTGACCACTTACCGATTGTGTTGGTTGATTTCTCTCTATTGCACAACTCTGTCTGACATGTCCTTCGATATAATAATGGAAAATTTGGAGGAAATTTACCATTAGCACCAAGGCATGCTCGTGACACGTAGTTGTTTGCTCCTCCTGTCTGTAAATGGATTGTTTGGAAACATGCTAAATGAGTTCAAGTGAAAATTTTGAATTCAGCTCGAAACGAGTTTTGTCATATTTTTTTATTCTCAAGTGTTGATTTTACAGGAATCTGTTTAGTTTCAGGTTGGTCACAGACTGACATCAATAAGAGAGAGCCAGTGAAAAATTCCACAGAGTACTGGACAGCTGTTTCCTCAAAGTTTAGGAATTTTCGGTAGTACGTACCTATCCATGAACTTACACTGGTATTATTAAAAATTGGCAGGAGTTACAACACGAACGTATTTTCCTGATAATACGAGATTGTGTTATTTCACGGATTCTTGTTAACAGTATACAGCTTAAACCTCCCTCTTGATTTCTCCATCATATTGTGCACAATCTTTTGTTTCTATGCAAAATTTGAACTCTGCTCTCCACTTTGTGTCTAATTATGCTATAAATAATTAACCTTTTTAACACCGAATAATATATCTGCTTACATCATTTCAGAGTAATGCTGCTTAAAATTTCTACTTATAACTCGACGTCATTGTCATAAAATTATGCTCACACCTTTTGTAACTTATGTTATGTTTTGTTAGTGTGCAATCAAAATTATGCAATACAGTCCTACAGGAGGTCAATCGCGAGCCTGAATAGCTCAGTGGTAACGTCTCTGACTGCAGCACTGGGTGACGCGGGTTCGAATCTCAGAAGGGACATGAGTTCCTTCAAGGTTGCAGATACACCTCGCTGATGAGTGCCAACTAGCACGAGACCTAGGTCGAAGGCTTCCTGTGGCCGATTGCCTCCAACCATCTAATACCAACAATTCCCAGTGCACCGTAATGGCGAGCCACTTAGCATGGTGGCCACATTGCAAGCTTGACTGAGAGAATTCAGTCTGCAGAGAAGATAGGACTAGACACATTACACTAGTTACTGACTAGCGTGCAATCAAAAATACGAATTCGGTGAAATTAGGCCTCTTCGATTTGCAGAAAATGAAGATGTGTTTTTCTGTGTAGAGTTCTATAGTTTTAATTATTATACGAATCACCAAATGATTTCTGATATATAAGCGAAATGAGAATATGTAAAACTAGGGGGCCACATCTCACAGTTTGTAATTTATAATATATATATTACGTTGGTTAGTAAAATAACAGAAACACAAAACAATGAAAAACAACTATTTCTGGAAAGAGAAAATATCATATCCCACATCTCATATCAGATTATATTTCATTTTTCTGTAAGAGATACACAGTTACAATTGAATATTCAATGCTGCATTTATCGTATATACATCACATTAACACACTTCGTGTGTGGTTTCCCATCAAAAACTCTTTTGTTTGCTCTTGTGTTTTCATAATTATATATGAAGTGATCATTATTCAAGCTTATTGTCATACATTATGGATCATCTGTTATCTGACTGAAATATACACGAGTGTAGAGTGTGTTGACCACTTCACTTATTTGGGAAGTTGAATCAGCCTTAGCACGGATACAAAACACTTGTGTGTCATTTCCCAGCTTAGTTTATCATTAATATCAGGCTAACCATAGAAATAAGTGTGTACTGCGAAGCATTTCGTTCCATCCAAACTTTATGGCTGTGAAACACGGTTATGAAAACCTGGAAGAAATGAAAAGACTAGCTGTCTTTGTTCATGAGTGTCTTCGTTCTATCCCCCGAGTTAAGCGACGGTTATATGATGAACAGTACTAAATTTAGACGTAGAATGTTAGCTTAGAAGGAAGGTAAGTTAATTAATGAACTTGTGAAGGTAAATCAACTGAGATGGCTAAGACACATTATTGTGCATGCCGAGTGATTCCTCGACGAGTAATATTAGCCTACATAGGGTTATGTTGGAAAAACCAAAACCTGGTATCCTTCCATGATATATTTGATAATTAGTTTGAAGCACACTTGTTTGAATCACTTTGAAATCCCCCTGAAAATGAGTGAAACCAGTCTGAAAGTATTATGCTCATTGAAACTGTTTAGCTAAGGAATCGAGTAGGCCTTCATTCAATGAGTGCCTGTTGCTAGTATGTTGTGATGTAGAAAAGAAATCTCTATACACTAAGGGAAATTCCTCTGATCTTTCAGGTAAACTTCAGCAGAATGAAAATTGGATTATTTCAAGAATAATGTAACCGTTATGCATACTTTAGCAAGGCAAAAAAGGATCTAAGAATAGAACTTGTGCAATGTGGTAGAGTATAATTCCATTGTTCATTATGATTATTGCTAATAATCATTTCAACACCTTGATATTATGGTGGTGTGATACAGACAATATGTACCAACGGAATGTTATTCTCACATGTTCCCACAGTTCAACTAGGCACTAACAGCAGAATAGGATATATATATTTCAACATCAACTTGATATGATTATGAGCAATAGTTTATGCTCGAAACGTCATCAGTTAATATAACTGTACAACACTGTGTGATTTATCAAAATAAGATCTTATCCATAATGGAGTTATGCTCTAACACAGTGCTCAAGTTTTATACTTATAACATTATATTTCGTGTCGTTTGATGTAAACCAAAATCACACGCTCCGTGATTGGTTAACGAATATATACTGTAGATATATAAACAGCGGTTTGATTAATGCAAAATATAGTTTGGCTTCCTTGTCTTGTCTTCTGTTGTTACAGTGTGATAATGAGCAATAAATTGTGCTCGAAACGTTGTCATCAGTAAATATTACTGTATAACACTGTGAGGCTTTATCAAAATAAATTTTACCCACAAAGCACAAGAAAAGGATTATAACAGAAATTATAGAACACTAAAAGCTCTTCAAGATGTTTGAAATATCTCATAATAATAATAAGGGACTTACAGCACATTTGGCACAATTGGCTCTTACTGTTGTCGACTGATAGACTTCTTGACAGAAATCGCAGACAAAACACGAAATGCCTTGACATCTACCTGTGGATACAATAAAACAAATTTGATTATTAATTGCATAATAGGTTAAGTCGAATAGTATCAAAACTGTGCCTGGCAACAGTAAAGAATAGACACCAAATTTAGACGACCGTGAAACAGTCAATCAGATTCTTCTAGGTGAAAAGTGGTACTTAATTTACGAAGAAGTGTATCTACGATATATATGTAATAAAAATGAATCAAATAGGGTATATATCTCTAATATGCTGCAAAAACTGGACCCAGTTCCTCATAGAAGTAGTTATAGACATATCAAACTAATGTATTCTCTAATTTCTCCAGCTGCAGCATATACTGGTTGCATATGCGCAATATATTACTAAGGGAGAGCTTTGGTTTTGAGAAGAAAGTGTCTAAAAAAATCACCAATTATATACGACTTGCCAACTTATACAGACTTTATATAAAGTGGTTGCAACTGAATGTATGACCATCAGTAACCCAGCAATACTTTTTCAGAGTCATTATCCCTCCGCATATACATATTTTATTCCTCCCTATCAACCCATTTTCCACAGGGAAGTCAAAAACCAAATCTAGGAGACATTTTCAACGAGGATTATGACTAGCAACCATTTGTAATGGTGAGCTATCTGATTGGTCAAATCAAGGTCATCTGACTTTGGTGTCTATTGTTTACTCTTGCCCTGTGCCTTAATAGTTCGCTTATTTCATACAAGCAGCACGTTGGAATGTGTTTCTTAAAAGCTTCTGAAAATCGACTAATTCCTCAACTATATTCTATAAATTACATAAAATGTTTAGCCGTATTTTATGAGATATCTCATGTAGCTGCAACAAATTGCAAACTTTCATCAAACTACCTGTAATTTGCACTTTGTTCTATATTATTCATTGAATGGGAAAGTTTAATATCTCTTGGCAAAGAGTAGGATAACCTGTTAGAAAGTTCAAATATGAAAAGAGAACTATTCTTCTCAAATACATCTTATGTTTTATAGCTACTTTGATCAACTTTTTTTTCTACATAAGCGGTTGTAGTGTATAATCTACCTGTCATATTAATTGAAATCTTTTCACCTGTACAATTTTATCATCATGATCCTCATTAGCACAGATAGTCATTGTATGTGCTAATCTATATATTTCCAATTTTCCCTCAGATTTCCTTAAAAATATGCCATTGAAAAAAAAATCGGGCAGAATAGAAAAGTTGGGAAATACATCAAATTTATGATCTTCAAATTATAATGTTAGAAAAAGACATATAAGCGAACAATGTTGTTTTCAATCAGATCTTCTTCAGGCTTTACTCTAATTTACATAGACTTATATTTAAAAAATTTTTAACCAATGACGGTGATTTTGTGGATCAAATAATAATAATAATAATGAGCAGAAGAGAGGATGGTTCACTCAAGAGAGATGTCTATAGAAAACCTACATCTGTAGGACAATATACACATTTCCTCAGTTTTGTACCAATCCGATACAAAATCAATTTGGTGAGATGCCTCACGAATAGAGCAAAAGACGTATCTGTACAGATGACTCCCTAGAAAATGAGCTAGGATATATCCAAAATATGGTGGTTCAAATGGGTTATCCTAGTAGATTTGTAAGGAGACACACGAATACCAGGTACAATAAAGAAAAACTGACAACAGTTAAAAAGAAACAACTGTTCATGAAATTGCAATTTAATGGGGACGTAGCTAGCGAAGTCTTACATCTGAGATTATCGAGAGCAATAAAACGGACTTATACTGCCGTCAACCTTCGTTTGTCATTTTCCAGCCGACCAGCTTTGATTGCTCAAGTGAAAGATAAGCTACCTAGTTGTGCCACTTCGATGTGTATCTATAAATTTAGCTGCTCCTGTGGAGAAAGCTATATGGGGCGAACAACTAGACAGCTTAACAAACGTATCAATGAGCATCTTCCTTCATGGTTCTGAAAAGGCCAAGTAAAATCTTTAAGAAGTTCTATTTTGACTCATTTCATTGATAGCAGTCACCAAGAGGACAAAAATAGTGCTTTCAAAGTTATCTATCGTATTTCATCGAGTCTTTCGAATGGAATTAGAACTCGCCTTTTACACCTAGCCTAAGCTATGGAAATTAATTCGAGAGAACAATCCTAGTGCCTTTGCATACAGTGAAAGAAGTTTGTTCTACTTTTGGCTCTCCCTTGGCCTAGGTGAGTTCTAATCAAAACCCTCCCATCCTTTCTTATCTCCCATCTCCCTTGTACTTCTATGATATTTATTTAAACCCTGATTATCGTTCCACTTCGCCTTTTAAGATTTGAGCCAATTTATTTATTGAATTGTCTATTGATATAAGAATAAAACTTGGGCACTGTGGTAGAGTGTAATTCCATTATGGGTAAATTTTATTTTGATAGAGTCTCACAGTGTTATACAGTAATATTTACTGTAATATAACACTGTGAGACTCTATCAAAATAAAATTTACCCATAATTGAATTGTCTACATATACACATATATACACTACCTTTGTTATTCTTATCAGCTGTATAAACCTTATTTTCAATAATTCAAATGAACTGTCGTCAAGATTTGACAGAATAGTTCTAAGATATTTGGGCGCCAAGTGAACAGTAGACATTTGTAAAAAAAATTATATTTGTTATATCTCAGCGAGATTGAAATGAGTAATTCCAACGTTTCGTTCGGCAATCTGGTCCGAACTTCTTCAGGGAAATTAATCGAAATTGACATAACAGAGGTTTATATATAAAAGGAACATCACTTGCTTCTAAAAATTCTGTCCAATCATGAGTCATTTAACAAGTATAATAAACAAAATTTTATGAGCCGTGATCAAAATTTGACTTCGGACTTACAAATATTGGTCTACCTTTGTTAAACACTTTAAACAGAGTGTGTACGTGTGTGTGGGTAAACATTTGTAAAACATTTCTTAACGTCTCCATAAGAAGATATGGACAGTCAAGAATTTTGACCAAGTATTTATAATTAGTGATACATTTCCATTTTTTATTTATTAATAAGGATTTCCTATGCATCAGCTAACATCACACCTTCATGTCTGTTCACACTGTTAGTATCTAGAATTTTAGGATTAGACGTAGTTTCAAAATTATGGTATTTAGGATTAGAGTTTTGTAGAAGCCCCTTGTCGGACTTATTGCTTTCTCTTCTTTCTGAAGATTGAGCTGCTTTATTCGACCTACTGGAGTTGTCAGGTGACTCGACAGCAACGGATTTAGGATATGCATTCTGTTGCAGACAACGGAGAGTGAAAACACGATGATTGTTCCAATTACACAGTTTCTTTGTTAATTTAAGTTGATTGCAAAATAATTCTAATGAACTCTCGTCAAGATTTGACAGGATAGTTCTAAAATATTTGTAAGTCCGAGGTCAAATTCTGATCACGGCTCATAAAATTTTGTTTATTATACTTGTTAAATGACTCATGATTGGACAGAATTTTTAGAAGCAAGTGATGTTCCTTTTATATATAAACCTCTGTTATGTCAATTTCGATTAATTTCCCTGAAGAAGTTCGGACCAGATTGCCGAACGAAACGTTGGAATTACTCATTTCAATCTCGCTGAGATATAACAAATATAGTTTTTTTTACAAATGTCTACTGTTCACTTGGCGCCCAAATATCTTAGAACTATTCTGTCAAATCTTGACGACAGTTCATTTGAATTATTTTGTTATCATTAAAATCATCGTTATTAATGCCGTTCAAAAGACTTATCACATTACTATTATTATTATTATTAGTAGTAGTATCATTATTATTATATGATCCTCAAAATCACCGCCATTGGTTAAACTTTTTATTTATCAATCTATGTAAATTAGAGTAAAGCCTGAAGGTCTAATTGAAATCAGTGTTGTTCACTTAAATGTCTTTTTCTAATATACATGTATATATTTATATATATGTATATGCAACAGTTTTAAAATCTAATGTAACAGGGTGAGGCGAGAGATTGAAAACGGAAGCTTTGTTTTCTGAATCAACTGTAAACACATGTAATGGGAAAGATTCAACACCTGTCCAGTTGGACATCTAGAAAATTCTACTACCCCAACGACGACATATAGGCGAGAACAAAGAAAACTATAAAACTAAAGTTTCGAAGTCGTGTGATTATATCTGATTTGATTATTAACAATAAATTGTGTTCGAAACTATGTGACATGTCTAATAAACAAACTAACATGGAATTACTTACTACCACAGTGCCTAAGTTTTACACATGTATTATTATGTGATAGGTTAAAATACGCACGTGTAGAATTCTTATCAAAACCCTCCCACTCTTTCTTATCTTCCATCTCTTTCGTACTTTTATGATATTTATTTAAACTCTGATTATCTGTCCACTTCACTTTTTATGATTTGACCTAATTTATTTATTTATTGAATAGTCTACATACACACATATACCTTTGTTATTCTTATCATCTGTATAAACTTTATAATCAACATTTTGTTATCATTATAATCATCGTTATTATCTACGTTCAAAACATTTACATTCTTATTATTATTTGATCCACAAAATCACCGTCATTGGGTAAAAATATTTTTTATACAAGTCTATGTAAATTAGAGTAAAGCTCGAAGGAGATCTAATTGAAAACAACAATATTGTTCGCTTATATGTCTTGTTTTAATATTGTAAATGGGAATATTTAAAAATTACAATGTAATTTAAATTAGGTAAGTTAAAATTTGCAAAATTTCATATTTTTTCTCTATAACTGGAATTCCACGGATAGGCTTAGATTACAAGTAATATAATTGAAACACATTGTATAGTCAGTATCACGAAACACTAAGCGCCTATGAATAAGAAGATGAATTACGCGATAAAGGGCATTAGAGAATACAGTAATGCTGAGGTGATTTCATTTGTGTGTCATTAAAAAGTTTCTATCTTTGAGTTCCACCGTGATGTTAGGCAGAAGATAATCCAAGCAGACTAACATGTAGATGACATAACGATAATACGGATGAGTACGCTAGGTAGGTGTGTGTGTGCGTGTGAAGAACATTCAGATAAGAGTTAAGATTTACAGTTCTATACACATAGAATCAGATTAACTAAAATAACCATTCACTCGCTAAGGACAAAAAAACTGACTCAAATGTTATAAGAATAAAACTTGTGCACTGCGGTAGAGTGTAATTCCATTAAGGGTAAATTTTGTTTTGATAAAGTCTCACAGTGTTATACAGAAATGTTTACTGATGACGTTTCGAGCACAATTTATTGCTCATAATCATATCAAGGTAATCACACGACTTCCTAAATTCATTTATATAGTTCCATTATTTTCCACTTGATTTGATTGGTAATAATATTTTCCATATTTCCGGTATGAGTGATGAATCATTCCTATTGCATGTGTTGGGTGTAGATTCGATGAACAAGGATTCAGTAATGGCTCTTAATACGTGGAGATATGTGGATGACACTTTCACAGTGTTAAAAAACAGAACATATCTCTAGTTTCTCGGCACACATAAACTCAAAGTGGAGGGAATAAAATTCACATTTGAAGCCGAAAAATGAGCAAAGAGAATTAGCTATGTTAGATTGTAAAATAAAACGAACAGAAGAAGGCAAACTACACACTAGTGTTTATAGAAAACCAACGCATTCTAATAGATATTTAGACTTTAATTCATCTCATCCTTTAACTGTTAAGGCAGGCTTAGTTAAGTGTTTAACAAACCGAGCAATGGGACAAAGTAGCACAAAAAAGACCAAAATGATGAAATAAAACAGACAGAAGAGGCGTTGGTGTTAAATAACTGTCGCTTAAAATTCATTAGGAAGACTGAAAAAGGCCGAAAGAAAATTGAAAGAATTGTGAAACTAGTAATAATTATATAAATAAAAGAGAATATAAGTCATATACAGTTATACCGTATAAAGAGGGAACATCTGAGACCCTACGTAGGATTCTCAATAAAGCAGGAATTAGGGTGGCATTCAAACCTACAAACTCACTCGCGTAGGACAAGCTCTGCAGGTTAAAGGACCCAGTTGACCCAATTAGACAAAATAATATAATTTACAAAATACCCTGCAATGACTGTAAGTTAAGTCAACTACATAGGTCAAACTAGTAGGTCAGGGGTAGTCAGATTGTCAGAACATAAGAATTTAGCTAAGGTAAGAATGGTTGACCCAGAGAAGATAAGTAATTTAGAAAAAAGCTCAGCAATTGCACTGCATGCATTAACAACGCACAACCACACAATAGGGTGGGAGAGGGTTAAAATTCTAAAAGGTAATCTAGGTAGGTGGAGAGAGAGGTTGATTACTGAATCCTTGTTCATTGAGTCTACACCCAACACATGCAATAGGAATGATTCATCACTCATACCCGAAATATGGAAAATAATACTACCAATCAAATCAAGTGAAAATCAAGTGAAAAACAATGGAACTATATAAATGAATTTAGGAAGTTGTGTGATTACCTTGATATGATTATGAGCAATAAATTGTGCTCGACACGAGGTCATCAGTAAATATTACTGTATAACACTGTGAGACTTTATCAAAACAAAAACTGACTCAAATGTTCAATATATTAATAAATTTAACTTTATTATTGCTTTAATTAATACTTACATATATTGACTAGGAAGAATAACAGAATTCCGAAGTATTTTAAATATATACTCATAACTCAATGAAGTCTTTACTATGAAGCTTGCATAAAACTAAAAATGAATAGTTTTTTTCTGTGAGAGACACATAAGCAAAATGTTGGCATACTTCTTAACACCCCAACAGCAAACCAATGAAATCTTAATTAGTCTGTCAGTTTCACTACACGCAAACGTAGAATGTAAAAGATATATATTTTTAGAAATTATAACAGACGGACTAATAATAAAAAAATCGAAAATGAGTGATTTCAATTAATTAATTAGTAATTTAATTTTATGAATAATCGACACTGGGTAAGTAAATGTTAAATTGCACCAGTTTAGAAGACTACAAGAATACTTACTGACTGTTGCATAATTCTGTAGCGCAGCAGTCATGTGATACACAGACACTCTTGGAAGGAAAGATGCGTTTTAGAATGTTTCACTTAGTTTAATAGCTCTTATTGGTCAATGAACACACTGAAATCCGAATTGGTTTAGCATAGCATGCCATCTTTAACTGCTAGTTTATTTGTAAACATTTTTTTCATACAGTTTTAAAGATCTGCATGTGTAAGCTCTTCTCATACGTCGGTGACGTTTTATTAAAACTATTTAACAAGACACACGTGATTAAATATCAATAAATCTAGGCTTATGCCATTAGAGGGAGAGTTATGCTGATTGTAGCTTTATGTAAGCGCACACATGAGTTCGTTGTACAACAGAAAATAGAATGCAGAAAAAAGAACAGACAGTAAGGTTACATCTCACTTAATTTGTATGAAATAATAAAACCCTTTTGGTAATGTGACTGTGTCTGCTAAAGGCTCCCAAAAATGACCTACCACTTGAACTAGGACACTATGCATCTTAGAAAAGGCCAGTACAGCTTCTGCAATGAAAAAGGAGACAGTTGAGCTTGTGGAAGAAGTTAGAGATTTCAAAGTGAAGGTTAAGTTTATGAATTTTTGGGATATGTCTACAGTGTGCCTATGATGGATACAGTAGATTATATATGTAATGAATTAACAAATGAAAACTTAGAGGTTGGTATTCTTGTGTCTACTTTAATGGATCATCTTTTGGCATGAACGGTGTACACCTTTTGTCAAGCGGTCAGGCTGTTGCTACTGGTTCACTATTGAATTCAAAGCTACCGGGTCTTTTCCAGGAGAAACTAGAGAACTATCCTGTGAAAGATGTGGTGAGTGATCGGCATTTCAGCAGTCTTACTATAGATGATTCGTTTGTTATTATAATCAACGAGCTCAGTGGCAAGGTGTATATAATTAACTTAAAAAGTTTCATCGGACTGTAATTTTTACCAAAGATTTAGAAAACAACCACTTTTTCTCATTTTTATGGATGTTTTTATGGCAAAAATACTGGCAGCGGACACCTGAAACACGCATTCTCAGCAGTATATTCACATTTTAAATTTCTCTCCTCTACAATAGAAACAAAATCTGATTAAATTTTTTTTCACTGTGGAAGAGTTATTCGTTCTGACGAGACGCTCAACAAAAACCTCTGTAATAATTGTTACCTGCTTAGTAGGATATACTCTGGAGTTTTGAGAAAACATATGAGATTATTGAAGTTATCTGGTGGATGGTGACTAGCAGTGGACTCCAGGATGTGCACTTCATCCAATTTGGGACTCGTCATCTGGGTGTACCTACATTCCACAGTGAGTGATGATGTTCACACCAAGGCTCGAATCCAGTGCCCATAGTTTCAAATGCCAAAGCGTTAACCACTAGACCACTTGGGGACATCATCACTCACTGCTCAGTGCAGGTATATCTAGTGACGAGTTTCAAATAGGACGAAGTGCGCATCCTCGATTTCAGTGCTAATCACCATCCACCAATTAACTTCTAATTACATGCCTAGACGTCATAGAAGCATCTGTACAAGAGGCTGGCTTGTCAACCTAAGATCGAGCACTTCGGTCCAATCACTCGACGGGACAATCTAAAATTCAATTAAATATGAGATTTTTAATTATTATTCACTGCATTTCCGAGTAGAATAAATGGCTTCAGCGGTTCTCTTCTATTTCAGTCTGTTTTCTGAAGTCCGTTTTAGGTGGCTCTTCGGTCGCCCATAAACTTCTATCTCCTCCTTACATGATCTTCACCATATCATCATCAGGCGCTCAAGTCGTCATTTCACACTCGGGATCCACCCAACAGTCTGGTGCATGGTGTTATTCAAGGGTCTTTAAAGCATATGCCCAATCCATATCCATTTCCTTCCGCATATCTATTGGGTGATGGGTTCTTGGTTTGAGTCACCGCATTACCAAAGTTCCTGGTCACTTATCCTTTCTGGTCATTTGATCTTCACTATCGAGTCAGGGAAGGCAGCTGTTAATGACAGTCTCCAACCCGTCAGCAATGTTTTTCGTGACAAGCCACATTGTTCAGCGTTATAGAAGCAGTGATTTACTTAGCGTGAGTGTTGAAAATTCATTCCATTTTCCCTAGTTTTCCCTTCCTGCCTTTGAGTTCAGCAAACGCCAAATCCATAGTACCTACAATTCCTAAGACAGATGTTCATCATAGACATTATCCATGAGACTGCATCACAATGTTTGACAAGAGCTTTTAGAAGGATCAGGTTAAGCTTTTTATTCACCAGTAGAACCAATTTTCAGTTTGTGAAATGAAAACAAATGGCCTAAATTCCGACTCTTTCATTTGATTCTACCAGATGGGTTGCTCCTGTGCAGTTAGTCACATTGGGCTTACAATTAAGTAAGTCCGTCATTGAGTGTCAAAACACCCCGATTCTTGGTTAACGAAATGAACGAATAAAGGGATAAGCAGAGGCTCATTCTTTGCTGTAACCATCGACATAATATGTACAGAGTCCCACAGATGATCATTTCCCCTATTCTTGCAACTATTAGTTGACAATTTAATTTAATTTTAGATTTTCCCGTCGATTGATTGGACCGAAGTGCTCGATCTTAGGTTGACAAGCCAGCTTCTTGTGCAGATGCTTCGACTACGTCTGGGCATGTAATTAGAAGTTAATTGGTGGATGGTGACTAGCACTTCGTCCTATTTGGGACTCATCATCTGGACGGGAACATCATTACTCACTGGGGAATGCAGGTACATCCAGATGACGAGTCTCAAATAGGACGAGATGCGCATCCTGGATTCCACTGCTAGTCACCATCCACCAATTAACTTCTTATTAGTTGATAGTGTTGTTATTTTACTATTAATATTACTACTATTCTCGCTTATCTGAATGGCCTCCTGCGTCTTGCATTCCATATGCAATTGCTAATTAATTTATCCCCCCTCCTCCATCCTTCTTAATCTTCATCATCATACAAATTATCGATTGCTCAATAAGTAAGTTGTCACCAGATACTATAAATTAACTACTGGTCTCAATTCACGTAGTTATTTTCACCCCCCCTCCTGTATCTCAAAATTAATATTTCTTGTGCATTGATACATCACCACATAACTGGTATCATTTTATAATATTACTTTAAAACCCCCGCATAAGCCTGTGGGTGTGCATAAAGAACCAATTGGAAAGAAATATATTTCTCCTTCAATCGATCTATTGTTGTTTTCTACATGTATCTAAGATAAGTTTTTGTATCTGACTATTGGAGGAATATTCATGCTGATATTTAAATAACAGATTACTATTTTAGTAGCATTGAGCCAAGCCTATTAATAGTATGTGTGAAGTGAAAGAGTTTAGTTATTTTAGGCGTTCAAGTGGGAGATATGTAGGGGACTGTCTAGAGCAAACTCATTAACATAACAAAATATGCGAATAAAAATCCAAGTCAATGAGAGTACAGTGCAACAATATATTATCAAAATGCAGTAACGAGTTATATTAATTAAAAGGTTACTTGGATACGTTGTTAAAGTCCACTGCTACAAATTTTTGTTGAGTGTTGGAATCCTGTCTACTGGTAGAAGTTGTGTTCCGGTTGTAGATTTGTCTTCGGATAAGGATAATAGATTCCTGTAATAAATCCAAAGTATACAACACGGTTTGAGTGGAGCGAGTAGACAGAAATGGCCAGAGCGAAGACGAAACTACCAACAGTATAGTGTATTTCAAATTGCACTCAAGATCAGAAGTTTACCGAACTACTTAGAAATAGATTTCGCTAATATATTGACTAAAGCTTACTTAAATTTGATTGAATATTTTCATTTGCACCTCATAACATTGTAGATGGGTTGCCATTTGATAACCAGCGAACTCATCTAGTTCTTAGTGTGTTAACTGAGACCTGTTGACGATCTTGTCCAAACGATAGAGTTACAATCTTCTTTGATGAATGTCATACATTTAAATTTTGACGAAAGGAAGAGGTTTTTTGCGGTTAACCGTGTGTTTTACTGATGCATTTTAACTAGAATAAGACAAAGAACAACTATGAAAAAAATTTGATATGAAATATTTCGATGAAGACGGATTTAAAAGCCGGAAATCAGTGAATACTTGCCTTTTAGACATCTATTTTCAGGAGTAATGTATATTCTATAATGTTTGAGATCTTTCCAATAGCACCACTTGGACAATTTCGCAAATGCTGTAAGGCAGACTTTTACTTAAAATTTCTTTATTCGTCGTTGGAAAGAACCTCTTAATAATAATAATAATTTTTGCTTTATTCCAAAAACAGTATTAATGATACAGCAAGGAATTTTCAGCATTCAGTACAGTATTGCATCTAATTTACTCAAAAACGACAACAACAAACAAAAAAAGTAGATAAACGGAATAATTAATACATAATAATGATAACAAAACGTTTTTATAGCAGCTATGTAGCAATTACAGTAGAGGATAAGGAGAAAAATATAAAATTATAGTAATAATAGTAATAACAACTAAAATAAAAATAGCAAAGTTATAATTAAACGATAGAAAGGGTGACACCATAGAATTGCAGAAAGATGAACAATGAAAGGGTCGATTCACTATGCTAATTACATAGTAACTTATATGTTTCACGTCTAACAGTGTCTTCATCACATAAAATACGGGCTAAGTACGGTATTGTAGAATTTTTGTACTTAGTGGTACGAGCATATAATTTCTTATATTGACTTCTCGTTATACCTGATGAGATACAAGGGGATAATTGTGAATAAAGAGGGTGCAGAGGGTCTGACA